TTAAAACATGGATAAAGGTTTCCAATAGGGAATAATTTATGTAACGTGATTAAAGTGGAAACCAAAGTCAATTGTGCAAATATTGACAGGTGATTAGGAATAGGGGCGATAACCGGTCGTCTAGTGCCCCCCGCACACATGCTTGTGCCGCACAAAGTGGTGCGTGCAGGCACGCGACCTGACAAGTGACGACCAATTGTAGGGTGGGACGACTGGTCGTCTTAACTCCAACTTTTTATTGAATAGTAACCAATCCTCCAAAACTTGATTTATTCGATTGACGACAGGTCTTACGAAGTGACGACCGGTCGTCCAAGCAAAGACGCCACTTATAGGGTACATTATAATTAATAATCCACTTACAATTAAATTTGCCCAAAACTCAATGCTACAAAAATAGAATGCCATGTGTAAATGTATATATAAGATTATACATGTGAAAAAAATAATTTAGGATACAATCATTAATAACGTAATTCATTCCCAATGGTTTACATTATTATGTATACAAAATATATTCAAATTCATGGGTTGCGTGCCCAAATGCTTGTACCACTATCAACGTGCCTTAAATGCTAAAAAATGGTCCAAATGAATACGGTTACCACATTAATAATATAAGGATTCAATACCATTGTTACCAATTACATACCTAAAATATTAAGTTTACATTGCCATTGGAATGAATATAAATAGTATATGCTTAAGCCCAAAATTTTACAAAAAAAATAATGTGTACTACAAATGATGTCAAATTTCACTTTCTATCAATGCCTACGATTGTGAAGATGTATCATCCACTTCATTCCTTTGAGTCCTAAAATATTTAAGATAAGGGGTAATCACTACCACTTAGTAGAGATGCCTAAATGACGTTTCCTTAAGTTGATTAAACATAACAATAACCACTTAGGAGTATAGTAAAATGAAAAAGGGTTATGTAAGGGAATTTTAATCACAAATCAACCTCAAAGCACATAGACTATGATCCAAAGGTCAAATAAATGCCATGCATTATGCGTCCACACCACACACACACAACTGACTCTGACACACCCACACCAAAGATGTACTAGTTAGCCAGACTTTTAGTACCCCATTCCGTCCTTATAGCTAGTTAGTACCGTCGTTAGAGGGATACCTTCCCAATATCAGTTTTAAGAAAAACCTTTGCTCCACAAATTTTGAAAACTCGTTTCCACCCATGACTTCCCACAAACCACTCCATCTACACCAATACCATGCTATGGTAATGTCATAAATATGCATTACAATAAATTTAGGACAACCATACATTCCATCATCAACACACAATTACAATTAGAACAATATGCATGCTTTTGCTCATAAATCATCAAGAATTTCATATTGGCAACCAAACCACATACCATTAACTTAAATGCAAGAGATAGTCTCATGTAAGCAAGTTGTCATATAATAAGCTTGCTAGACATGAATTAATTCACAATACTTAGCATCTACCTCAATTAAACCACAAGCAATACATAATTATACACATAGTTAATATAATCTTCCAAATTGGCACACTTAGTAACATAATAGTTATGCTTTACAACACATAAAATGGCATTGATTTCCATCTAATTAATAATTAAGCAATTGAAGATCATGCTTGAAACCCTAGGACACCATTAATCAATTCATACCAAATTAAGCATGCTTTCAAAGGGGAAATAAAGAATTGATTACCATAACCTAGGACTACACAATTTAAGCAAACCCCTGCCTCAAGGATGCAAAGCCCTAACTTGCTCCAAGCTTGAAACCCCACCAAATCGAAAGCTTATACCACCAAAATGTAGAGGAAGAGAAGGGGAACAACATTCCCTCTTGGAGCTACCCCAAAAACCATAAACTTGCTAGGCCGAAATCTCAAAAATGCATCAATGCCACCAAAATCACATCATCTTATACATCAAGAAATGTTGTATAACTTCTCTAACTAGCCTTTCTTCCAAATCCAAACCCTAGGAATTTTGGAAATTTCAAAGTGGTCAAATCTTTAATTTCTCACCATAGTTTTGTAGAGGAGAAGGAGGAGAAGAACTTTCTTTTCTTGGGTACACTCAAAATCAAAGGCTAAGGCCCTCAAAATGAAGCTTTTCAAAGCTTTTACATGGAGGTGATATATTTATAGATATAGAGAGAGAAAATGAGGGGAAGAAGATGATGAATAGTGTCCTTTGATTGCCAAACATCTCATATATATAACTCCCTCTCAACTTTTTACTAATTACACCACTTAACCCCAAATTTCATTACTAATTACTTATTTCCTCCAAGCAATTTTAATGAAATTACTTTAAGGCAACAATCCACCAAAAATAAAATAATAATGCCCTCCAATGATCTTTCACTTAGACCCTCGCCATACCCATGCACTTAAGCCACCCCGGACCCATACGGGATCCCCTAGTCCAAAACTCAAAAATGTTCGAAATGGATCAGAGTGCATTTCTAAGAGTTCTAAACTCAATGAAATACCTTAAATGACTCTCGGGACCCACACGACACACTAATTGGTCTATGGCATGCAAAACGTGGCGTAAAAAAACTAAAAAATTCAGAAATGCCGAAAAATCCGGGATGTCATAGAGTAGGCACTCTTTGCTTTTATGTCCATTATGTTTTATAAGGCTTCAGGTCCAATTTTTTTCCTTTGGGTTTAAAGGAAATTTGATTTTGCTAACTTAATGGACACAAAATTTGCTACATTAAAAGATGCCGGATATGAGTATTTTTTCGAACTGGTTTTGCCATTGCAATTTGAAAGTAAAAGAAAAATGTTATGAAAGAGGGAACAAATAATAAAGTAGGGAACAAATATTAACACAATTTGCTCATAGGCTCTGACCATGAAGAAATCCATTTTGAGATAAGAAATTAACAGAGACTGACTAAACTTCCAAGAATTCCAATATGAATTTTATCGAGTCTTTCTTAGTTATATACAACTCAGCTCTTATACTTGAGGAGTTTGAATCCTGATAACATACCTTCATAATCAATAAATTGATTTTACAACTATTCAAAGAATTTAAAATTGATTCATTTATCATATTATTTATCCATAAGATTTTACTCTTAGGTATTACCCCAAGATCTCACTCTATAAAGATAAGGGTAATTTTCACTCACACCCCTGAGGTTTCAAAAATGTTCATACACACCCCCTTTACCTGAGAAAATGACTATTTTAACCTTTGACTTGGTCAACAAATACATAAAAAGTGTAAATTACTAATATAACCCTGTAAACTAAATTTTTAAGGACCAAAATACCCTTTATTTTACTTCTCTCTTTAACCCTACACAATACACCTCTATCCTAAAGGTTCGGCAACGAGGTTGGAGGAAAGCTTAGAGGCGGCACCGTCGAAGAAGAGGTTTTCTTGTAATAGCGTTTTGGAGGGGAGCTGTGGCAGAGAATAGCGCTAGTCACGTCCCAACGACGAGCCGCCGTTCTAAAGGAATTGCCGATTTGCTCCCCGATCTGAAGCGTCAACGCGTCGAGGACGTCTCGATCGCCACAGCCGTCGAAGAGAAGAAGCTGTTGCCTTTGGATGAGCCACCATTCCACTGATTCACTTAACCAGCTGCCGGAATTGATAGCGTTGAGCGATGGTGGTGCTGTCTAGCGACATTAAGGTGTTGTGGTAGTGGCGGATTCGGCGATCTTGGCCTGGTCAGAGTTGGTGACTTTCGATAATTGCTCCGCCGCGAAGTATTTGGGTGAGTCTAACCTTGAGCGAGAATGGGTTCGTCTTGGTGGTGTGGGTGTGGCGGTGGTTGTTTGTGGCACTGGTTGTGGAGTAGGTGATGGCGCTATTGCTATATAGCGGTGGCAATGTGTGTGTGTGGTAGGGGGGGGGGGTGTGGAGGTGGTTGTGGTTGTGGCGGTGTGGGTGTGACGGTGGTTGTGGTAGTATATGTGTGGGTGTGACGGTGGGCGTGGGTGTGGCAGTGGGTGTGCGGTGGCGGTGTAGGTGGCGATGTATGGGTGTGGCGGTGGTGGGTAGGAGGGGATTAAGACTATTGATTAGGGTTATTTTTGTCAATTAACATATTCATGGGTAAATATGACTTTTGAAATCTCAGAGGGTGCCAATGAAAACTAGTACGTTAACCGGTTGCTGAGTGGTGTTGACTCAAACCTCAGGGGGTGTGAGTACAAATTACCCTAAAGATAAATAATGCACATGCACACAAACAAACAAGATTTATATGGTTTGTCAAATTGTCATTTGAAGAACTAGTACTTTCTTTCAATATCAAGATTACACACTCACTTCTCTTCTCACAAACTGAAGTGAACTCAACTCAACTCTCTCTCTCTCTCTTACAATTCTCTCTCTATCTCACTCTTCAAACTTCTCTTCTTACACTTTTTTTGTCAACTTCATCTCTATTCCCAATTTCTTGTTGCACCAGAGTTCTTGCCTACTAAAGAGTTACCAAAACAATTTCCAATTCTAAAATATAAGCATTCCAATGAGAAACAATTTCTTCCAATATATAGAAAAGTCCCGAAACAGAAAATGAAACTAATTTTTGCACATATCAGGGCTAATGGACTAGTACGTAGAAGTTGGACTGGTCCAATTCCTCTGGAATACAATCTTCAATTCTCCAGACATGTTGGATCGGTCCACACAATTTGGACCCAATTCTTCCAAAACTGAATCTTCAGCGGAATTTGAGGCGCACTCTAACAATTACAGCCATTTGAATTAAAAAATAATTGGCCGCCCATCTGATCATCCATTTGACCGTTCAAATTCAAAAATGATTGCCACTCATCTGATCATCCATTTCACATAATCTCTCTTACATGTACCCTAGCTATATGTCTCTCTCTCTCTCTCACTATATATATGTAGTAAACACACTTCAATGAAATCTTATAAAATGATGGTGACGCGTGGAAATTTTCATTAAATATTTCTCTCTTGTATATCAATACGTATATGCATCCATAGATTTGGCACTGGAGCTCTGGGAACGACGACAAAATTCAGCTGCGGTTAACCGGTTTTTGGAAGAGAACTTGCATAGGATGGCAAAAATGGTCTCCGCATTCTCAAGAGAAAATCAACTTGGATATTTTAAAAGCTGGATGTATAGTTGTACGTAAATCCTCGTCTACTTAATTTGCCTTTTATTTGTTTTTCTCTTTCTTTCTTTCCTAAATACGGTGGGCCTATTAACATATACTTTAGAAAACCAGAAAGTACCACAAAACTACAAGTCCCTTAGTCTAGCTCTTCTTAACAACTGAAAAGGACTGGGACAGACTTCTGGCATGCCCCAATCAGTTCACAATAATATCAACTTTTTTTATTTTATTCTTTTGAAGTTAATATTATTATTAGCTTTGATCAAATGTGTTTCTATTAAAATGATATTATCATTCTTTTTGTTTCTGGTAGATATTGATATGTTACCAGTTAGCTTTGAGGATTCCAAATCTTGTCCTCAATCCATTTCCATAGTTCAGTCAACGGGTATATATCTCTCCATCTCTCTATATTGTGCATTAATATTTTTTATTGATATATGGAAACAATTTGATTGGGTACATATCTACTTAGTTGCATCCTTTTGTGAGAAGGAAAATGCCTCTCTCGTCTCTCCATTGGATAAGACTGGGATTGATCCTGCTATCATCATCACATTCGTATGATACATGCATGCTTAATCAGAGTGATTAACATCATCCTTTTGTATTTACCATTTGTTTCACTCACAGTATTAATTAATGAGTGTGTAGTTCTATCTTTATTTTATTTATTTATTTATTTTTTTGTTTTTCCCCTAGACATATTGAAGTTCTCTAAATTTGGTCAACTGTGTTTCTATTAAAATGACCGACATTATCAATCTTTTGGTTTCCGGTAGGTGTGGATATGCAACCGGTTAACGTTCATACTAAGAGCGATATAGAAAAGCAACCTGAGGATTCCAGATCTCATCGTTTTTCCAGATTCAAAGATAAACTTTATTCAACAGGTGTCTCTTGATCTCTTTCCCATATTGCATATCCAATATTTTTCATTGAAACAATTTGATTGGGTAGACACCCATTCCAATATTGCTGGGCTGCAATACAGTACTTGGGCCAAATATTTTATTTTTTGTTATCCGAATGCACCTCTCTGTTATGGAATGCACCTTTCAAGGATGTGGAATGAATGACTTGTGATTTATATATGCTGGTGCATGCAACTCTCAATTTTGGACAGTTAATTATGGAAAGTCTCAATTTTGGATAGTTATGGGAACTCTCAATTTGCCTTTATACACTTGCATAATATATAACTTGTAGGAACTAATATTAATTAGATATGCTCTGTTGATCAGAAAGTATCTGTTTTTTTTTATGGTGTATAAGGAGTAATGTCAAATAAAGTTGCTAAAGAAATATGTTCGAATACAGGAAGCACTGTGAAAAGATTAATGTCAAAGGTTGCTAAAACAACAGGTATGGAAGCAGAGTACTACTATAGTTCTATTCAATTCATACGGTTACTGCTTAATTTCCCAATACCTTTTTTTTTATTATTATTATTTTTTTTTATGTAAAAATTTATTTATTTATTTCATTTTAAAATATTTCTACTTGGATACCAATTGCAGGTATTGAAGAAATATTGAATATGAAAAAAAAAGACATCCAAGCCCGACAATTACTCAGCAAGATGTGTTCCCCAATATGGACTTTTGATTTTAAATACATTGAATTATACTTTGAGGCAATAAAAGTAGCCATCAAATGTGGGAATGTTGGATTTGTTAAGGAAGTACTGAGGTCGAATCCTACTTTATTATGGGGGGATAAGAAAAATCAAACCATATTTCATATTGCAGTTGCTTGCCGTCAAGAGAAAATATGGAACCTCATATATGGTTTGACTACTGAACAAAGAAACAAAATCTTGGGAATTCTAGTAGAAACGAACAGCATGTTACACATAGCTGCATATCCATTAGTAGTTCAACATGAAGGTTCAGAAAAACAAGCTGCAGAGCAACTATTACGGACGGTATTCGTTAAGGCTCCAGGTGCAGCTATGAAAATGCAGAGAGAACTACAATGGTACGAGGTACGCAAGGACGCACGTAGTCTAATTAATTCATAGCTTTATATATATATATATATATTCTTCAAACTTCTGCTTTCCATCCATATATTATATATGGTGTGATTGATTTGGGAAGTTACAGCTATAAGTAATGAGTCATTGGCCTGCAGGGTCAATGATGAATTATTTGGTTGTTTTGTAGCATTAATCCACTCCAATCCATTTCAAGGGTAGTTTCTTAATTTTCAACTTCAGAATTAATTATCCCTCAAATCAGTGTTAATAGTCATGTCTTTGCGCCCTTCTATTAACTATATAAATAGTGGAATTAGACAAACTTTCATTATTAATTTAATTAGTTCTTTCTCATTAACAGTGATATATGTATATATTTGTGTATATATAGGAGGTGAAGAAGATGGTACCATCTTCATACAAGTTTCTTCCTAACGAGAATGGAGAAACTCCTCAAGCTTTGTTCTCAAAATGGCACTCTGATTTAGTCAAAGAAGGAGAAAAATGGATGAGAGATACAGCAACATCGTGTACAATTGTGGCCACTCTCATTGTCACTGTTATGTTTGCTGCAGTCTTCACAGTACCAGGTGGCATTGATGATTCAGGGAACCCCAAGTTCCTACAACATAACTCCTTTATAGTTTTCGTTGTATCAGATGCATTATCTCTATTCTCCTCAGTTACTGCAGTGTTAATGTTCCTAAGCATTCTCACTTCACGCTTTGAGGAAAAAGACTTCCTCAAGGCATTACCCAACAGATTGATAATTGGTCTTGCCGCCCTTTTCTTGTCTATTGCCACCATGATGGTAGCTTTTGGTGTCACTCTTGTTATTGTGATTGGCAAACGGATAAGATGGGCTGTTGCTGTTGCTCCAGTGGCTGTGCTTGCTAGTTTCCCAATAATCTTATTTGCTTTACTGCAACTTCCCCTGTTTGTCGACATGGTCTTATCCACCTATGGAGGTGGTATCTTCAACAGGAAAACAAAATGTTCCTTTTTCAACAACCCAAATGACGACTATGTTCCTCCACAACCCAAAGACAGAGTTGATACACAATGATTGGGGTATGATTATGTCATTTACATATATAATTCTAATCGTGGTTCAGTATAATCACTATTTGTAATTATAATTATATATGGATGATTCTTCAAGCAGAATAAGAATGTGCTTATATTTCTGAAAGATGAAATGCGTGTCCTTTCTATTTATCTTAGGTTTTTTTTTTTTTTTTTTTTTTTTTTTTTTTTTTTTTTAAATATAAGTGCATGCATCTCTCTCAAGAAAGATGAAATGCGTGTTCTTTCTATGGTTGAAATTAAACATTTTAAGTTGTTCATGTTGAGAATCTGCGCGTATAGTCATTTCTTCTATTCAAGAACAAACTCTAGTTATATGCATGCAGTCTTTCCTGAATAATTATGTGAAACTAGTGTCTACTTGCTGGTGATATTGTTATTGAGAATTTTTTACATATATAATAAGGTGAACAGAGATGTTCGTTATATGTAATATCCCTATATTTTAAAGGATTTATTAAATGAGATTAATTAATTATATTTATTTTTAAATGATTTGTTTGATTTAATTGGGATTAATTGCTTTTATTTTATTTTTAAATGATTTATTTTATTTAATTGAGTGTTTAGATTAATCTTTTTTATTTTAATTAGATTTTATTTTGTGATTATATTTGTTGAATTGATATGATGATTGTTGTGTGTGTGTTTGATAATTGATTGAATTATTGGTGTGTTGATTTTGTTGGTATGGTGTGACTTGGTTGTAATTTCTTTTTTTTTTTGTTTACGTGCTTCAGGTAATTAGTTATTTTAATTTAAGTATTTATTTAATTATTTGATTTATTTAAATTAATTGGATTTGGGCTTAAGGAAAGTTGGACCAAAGGATGTGATCTTGGGTTTGTATGAAACCTTATTGGGTTAATTAATAAAAGCCCATGGTTATATGATAATTTAAATGATCATTTTTGTATAATTATAAATATATAAATATAATTAATTAATTAATAGGTGTTGTGGAAGGATATATATATATATATATATACATATATATATATATATATATTGATATATATGTATATATGATTTAATTAATTAATAATTAATTATGGAAGGTATATATATATAAATATAATATAATATATGTCTATATATATATATTATTTAAAGATAATAATTATTATTTTTATTTGGTAGTCATAGTAGGAATAAGATTTGGATTATAATATGTATAAATAAACACATAAGACTTTAGGGTTAAAAGTTTACATGTTAGAAAAATAAGATAGGTAGAGAGAGAAGAAAAGAAGATTAACAAAGAGGAGGCTGAATTTGAGAAAGTGGACGCCGGAATTGGATGAGACAATCAAAACTTGAGCGTCGGTTTCATTTTGAAACCTTCAGACGAGTTCTTCTCTAACTTCCCTCTTAAGATCCATAAGGATTTCACCTTGAGTACCAAGACTTTAATTAAATTATTAATTTAAATCATGGTTAGAACGGGTTAATCAAAAGTATTAAGTTAATTTATTTGATTAAATCATGGTTAGATCGGATTAATTAAAATAATGAATTATTATTGTTTACACCCTTATTTTCCACATTCCAGAGGAATATTGCTCTGTCAATTCCAATGGAAAGGTACTACGACGTTCCAGTGGAAAGTCTTAGGACACATAGCAGCCAAGGAAGCAAGCGGTTACAAGTGGTTACATGCAAAGTCATGGGATACATGACAGCCTAGGAAGTGAGTGGTTACAAGTGGTTATATGCAAAGTCATGGGACACATGGCAGCTTAGAAAGTGAGCGGTTATAAGCGGTTACATGCAAAGTCATGGGACACATGGCAACCTAGGAAGTTGGTCGATTCCAATGGAAAGTTACTATGACATTCCAGTGAAAAGTCTTGGGACACATGGCAGCCAAGGAAGTAAGTGGTTACAAGCGGTTACATGCAAAGTCATGGGACACATGACAACCTAGGAAGTAAGTGGTTGCAAGTGGTTACATGCAAAATCATGGGACACATCCTAGGAAGTGAGCGGTTACATGCAAAGTGGGACACATAACAACCTAGGAAGCTGGTCGATTCTAATGGAAAGTTACTACGACATTCCAATGGAAAGTCTTAGGACACATGGCAGCGAAGGAAGGAAGCGGTTACATGCAAAGTGGGACACATGACAACTTAAGAAGCAAGTGGTTGCATGCAAGCTACCATTACTAAAGTCTATAAATAAGGCATATGTTGTAACTTACAAAGTCTGCTCAACGCTAAACATAACAACGCATTTCAATTCAAATTCTCATTTACATTGCAATGCAATTTCATTATGTTTAGTCGAAGTCCTGCACTTTACTTTACATTAGATAATCTTACTTTCTAGTTAATACTTTCTCAAGTAGTTCGTTCCTTCCTAGCCAGTTAACAATCCCGAAGTCCTTTATCAAAGGCAAAAAAAACCCAGAGGTGGTCATTCCAGACCTCTTCACAATCGCCTGGTCCCGCAGTCTTCCTTCTGGAATATTATTTGGATCTCTCTTTGGAACTACAATAGTTCCTAGCACGCCTATTCGGTTCCATCGGAATCGGCGCTCGCTTTTTCAAGGCCAAATATAGTGGCACGCCTGGCGGGACATTCTGAACGAAGTGTTTCCATGGAGGGAGGAGAAAGACAAGGCAAATCTTTTCAATATTTTGCCGAAATTTTTAGGGAACACGGCAAATCTTTTCAAGATCTTGCCGAAAGTTTTAAGGAAAATGACAAATCTTTTCAAGATCTTGCCGAAAGTTTTAGGGAACAGTGGCGCCTTGAAAGAGAGTTACGAGAGCTATTACGGAAGCCTTACTTGGTAGAAAGAAGTGGCTCCAAATATCAAGTACAAACCCTTCCACGAGCTCAGAAATAACCACCACCCGTGATGTCGATTCCACCAGCAGTGAAGTCGATTCCGCCAGTAGTGAAGTCGATTCCGCCAGCAGTAGCTCAACCACTTCCATCGCAGATGCAAGTTCCACCTAAGGTGCAGAACCCTTCAGCAACAGGGAAGTTGATTCCCTTGGCAATAGTTCAACCACTTCCATCGCAGGTGCAGGTTCCAATTAAGGTGCAGAACCCTCCACCAGTAGCAGTCCAAAAAGTTCAATTTTAGGTCCAACAAAATGTTCCACTTTCGAACATTCAGCAACCTACAAACATATCACCAAGGCCACTTATGGCCTTTCCAATGGCATTCGAAATTGAACGCCCTCCAAGGAAACCTCCCGATCAAAGAGTGAATCCAATCCAGTGGAGGAGTATTCCTTTGGTAGACCCAAACCCAATTCTAGTGGTATTTGGGGGGCATCCAATGGCCAACCTAACCAAAGGTTGGCCAAAGAATACAAGCCATATTGTTGACTTCTCCCAACAAGACTATGGCTTGGCCATGAGGAAGGTCGACAAACCTTTCCATGGGAAGCCGTTACCACTTTTTCCATTGGAAGAAGATTTTCCACAGCCAGATTTTCCTTCAGAAATGGCACAAGCTTCTCAATCATTGTATATTCTTCCACATGAAGAATATAACGGTCATAGTATTTTTCTTCCAATTTTGGGAAAAAAAAAATGCTACTATTTTATTTGTCCCAAATTCATATCTTATGATTTTTTGGGTGCAAAACTTGGCTAATCAACTATGTATTTGGCCAGAAGATGTACAAATTCGTCCTTCTCGTAAACCGCCATACCTCGAGGGGCAACGAAATTGGACGTGAGGCTTCAAATCTTCGTCTTCGTTAAATAAGTAAGCTGCTTAAAAGTTTTCGGCCCAATGGTACATTTCGGCTGAAAAGTTTTACTTGTTTAATTCCTTAATAATAGGAATATCACATGGCAAATTTTCACTCACATATAAAATTTGATATGCCTTACAATTCTTTAAAGAATATCAGGCACATCAAATTTGGGGGGTAATGTTTACACCCTTATTTTCCACATTTCAGAGGAAGATTACTCTGTCAATTCCAATGGAAAGGTACTATGATGTTCCAGTGGAAAGTCTTAGGACACATGGCAGCCAAGGAAGTAAACGGTTACAAGTGGTTACATGCAAAGTCATGGGACACATGGCAGCCTAGGAAGTGAGTGGTTACAAGTGGTTATATGCAAAGTCTTGGAACACATGGCAGCCTAGAAAGTGAGCGGTTACATGCAAAGTCATGGGACACATGGCAGCCTAGGAAGTTGGTCGATTCCAATGGAAAGTTACTACGACATTCCAATGGAAAGTCTTGGAACACATGGCAGCCAAGGAAGCAAGTGGTTACAAGCGATTACATGCAAAGTCATGGGACACATGGCAACCTAGGAAGTAAGTGGTTACAAGTGGTTACATGCAAAGTCATGGGACACATCCTAGGAAGTGAGCGGTTACAAGCGATTACATGCAAAGTGGGACAATGTAATACCCCTAATTTTAAAAAGGATATCTCGGGGATTTTAATTTAGTAGTTAATTGCATTTTATTTGATTATGTGTGATTAGTTGAATTAATTTGATTATTTAATTGTTTAAGTGTTTTAATTAGTAAATTGATTTAATTGTTTTAATTTATTTGAGTTAATTGTTTTGATTTAATTTATTTAATTCTAGTTAATTATTTAAGTGGTAGTAAATTGATTTAATTGTTTTAATTTATTTGAGTTAATTGTTTTGATTTAATTTATTTAATTATAGTTAATTATTTAAGTGGTAAACTTATTTGTTTTGTTTAATTTGGTTTTCACGGGACTGTATGGGACACATATAGTTATATTAGGGTTTCAGTTATAGCCGGTAATATATATATCATAGGTCGGTTTATGGGCCAAGGAGGGCTCTGTCTCTATTAAACAAGGATTAGGGTTTGGGATTTGTACGCCTATATATATCCATGCTTCTTGGTATTAAGGATTGGAAAAAAAGACTCTACTCGCGTAACATAAAAACAGAGAGATACAGAGTGAGGTTTTGAGAGAACAGCTTTTGTTTGGTGTGGGATTCGACGGGGATTTCAGGGTTGGACCTAGGAGAAGGGAAGGGCAGAGGTATTAGGAGGCTAGATAGTGTTGCAGTGGTTACCGGACGTTGGGAAGACGGCGACAAGTTTTGAGTCCAAAACTTCAGGCAAGTTCTTTTCTTCCTCCTTCCCGTTG